TCCTCTGCTTGAATGTATGTCCTTGAAGAAATAGAGTAACTATCTATTAGCTACCCTCAATAGACTTATTCTTCCCAAATCAGTGTGGCATTCCCCCTCCAATTATACTAGTTTCTCTCCAGCACTTCAAGAAGAGATGGGATATGAAGATCTGCATCCTCAATCCCCAGTTCCACTAGCATTCAATAAATACTTGATGAGTACCTACTCTGTGCCAGGCTCTGTATTTTATTTATTTTTTTCCTTTAATACCCACAATAAACCTATATATCATTATTTTTATCTTTCTCTTGCATAGACATAAAATTAGTGTGTGGCTACTGGGATTCAAATTCAACATTGCAGACAAATTTCTTTCTTATACAAGGTTTGAATCCACCAGCTGCTCCACAGGAGGATGAGCCATCTCTTTTAGCATGAGTTACAGCCTCTGAAAAACCATCAGAGGGCCAGCTATGAGTCAGGTGCACCTTGACAGCACACAACAATGTCTATTAAGGAGTCCAAAAATAAAATAGGAACACTGGTATGATGGTGGTAAAGCACTCAGATGCTAACCAAACCATTCAAAGTTCAAATCTACCAGCTAATCCACAGGAGAAAAATTGGCAGTCTATTCCTGTAAAGAATTACAGTATTGGAAATATTGACAAGCAATTCCACACTAAGTCTATGGAATTGCTATGAGTCAAATTCGAGTCAGTGATAATGAGTTTGTGTTTGAGGAAAGGGGATGAGATGAAAGCAGTCCTTATTAACCAATACTCCTCCACTTCCCTACTTAACTATACCTTCATGTTTCACCAAATAATAGCCTATGTTCTTGATAATCTCTAAGCCAAAGCTAACAATGTTGAATTCTTTATTTATATTTTTCTCCTTCTGTAAGGGTTTTGTTTTCCAAGTTTATACTATCTCAATTTTCATCTACCTCTCATAATCATAATTTGACTTTTGTGTTGTATATCATACAGTAGGAACTGACCCATAGCTACCCCTCCAGTGTGTTTTCAGAGGCAGTTAATCGCCCAGGAGGAGATTGCTCGTCCTTATCCTTTGAAGCAGCTGGTGGGCTCCAACTGAATGCCTTCAGGATTGCAACATAGCTTCTTACCACTAGACCACCTGAGCTCCCTAATTATTTATTTTTTTTAATTAGTCACTGAATTTTTCTTTTCCATCCTCCAAACTAGGGTGACTCAGTCTTCTCTTCCACATAGGAAAAACCATCTTCATTGCTGTTCCTTCTGTGCTGACAGCATCCCATTGTCATTGTCATGTTGAAAATGACGCATAGAGACACCATGAACCCTGTTCAGTCCTGTGCCAACCTCACAATCTCTAACACAACCATGCCCATTGTGGCAGTCACTGTGTCAATCCACCAGACTGAGAGTCTTCCTCTCCTTTGCGGACCCTTCCCCTTTCCAAGTATGATGTCCTTCAAAGAATAACCTCTCCTAGCAACATGCCCAGAGTATGTAAGATGAAACTTCACTGTCCTTGCCTTCAAGGAGCTCTCTGACTGAACCATCTCCAAGACATAAATATTTGTTCTTTTGGCCTTTGATAGGATATTCAGTACTCTTTTCCAACACCACAGTTCAAAGGCATCAATTTTTATTCCATCATCCTTATTCTTTGTCCAGCTCTCAGCCACATAGCAAATGATTGAAAAGACCCTGTTCTAAAAATCAGGCATACATTAGTCCTCAAACTAACATCACTGTTCCTCAGTAATTTGGAAAGGCCCCTGATTTCAGACTTTCCCAGCTCTTCTCAGATCTGTAAAAGTTGGGCAACGACTGAGGAAGACTGAACAAGAATTGGTGTCTTTGAATTACGATGTTGGTGAAGAGTACTGAATAAACCACGGAATACCAAAAGAACAAATAAATCTGTCTTCATGAAATGTAGCCAGGTTGCCCCTTAGGAGCAAGGAGTGTGAGACTTTTCTCACATACTTTGGCATATTAGCAGAAAAGATCAGTCTTCTGAAAGAGCCATTTTTCTTGAAAAGATGCAGTATCAGCAAACAACCTCCATAATTAGATAAACTAATACACTGATTTCAACAATGAATGAATTCAAGCACAGATTGTAAGGGTGGTGAAAGATTGAGCAAGGTTTTAATCTATTTTTACTTACGGTTTCTGTGAGCCAAAGTTTACACAATTGCACCTAACAGCAATATTAATATTGTCAATTCCCAGCACAAATCATAAAGCCAACAAAACTTGTCAGTTCCTTTCAGTTACAAGTGAATATTGCTAATCCTTCTGTTCATCTCTGAACATCCTTCAAATATTATATCATGGGAAAATTTCACTGATTTTTCCTTTTGTTTCTCCTTTTACAAATGGTTATTTTCTATATTGCCCTTTTGTGTGTGTGTCATCTGTAGGATCCCTTAATCAAATAGGTAAAACTGTAGTCTGTTCACTGACTACTCCATTAGTCTGCAACTATCTTAGAAAAGTAAAATATTATGTAGAATATAGCCTTTAGAGTAAGCTGGGACTGGATAAAAATCTTGGTTCTACAGTTTTCACTTGAAAACTATATAGCCTTTCAGAGAGGAGCCCTGGTGGTGAAACGTGTTATGTGGTGGGAAGCTAACTGCAAGGTTAGTGGTTCTAAATCCATTAGGATCTCCTTAGGAGAAAGATGAGCAGACTCCTCCCAAAAATACATAACCTTGAAACCCAACAGAGGGTCACCATGAATTGAAATCAATTTAATGATAGAGGAGTTTTGGGATTTTGTTGTATTGGTGGGTGTTTTGTTTGGTTGATTATTTTGGGTTTGGTTTGGTGTTGTTTTTCAGTCTTCTGGAAGTTTTCTCTAAAATATAGATAAAAGTCTCTATTCTTGTATTTGTAAGAATTTTTATTAACTTAGTAAATTAATTCATAAATAACAGTTATATACCTGGTCCCTAAAAGTCGCTCAAGAAATTACTGTTTTATATTTACTCTTCTTATCTACCTTTTTACACTTCAAAGTACCTAATTCATTGCTAGTAATGAAATGTACATATCTCTCTCACATTGCCATCTAGTCAAAATCATCTCATAGCTGACCCTCCTGCAGGTTCTCAGAGTCTCTAATTCTGAATCATACAGGAAGAGGTTGTCCATCTTTCTCCCATGGAGCAGTTGGTGGATTCCAAACACCAGAGAAATGCAGCCTTTGAGTTATCAGCCCAATTCCCTATGGTCTGAGCCATCAAATCTCCCTATGTACATTAAAGAGAGCTGTTCATGTGATTTCCAAAGTGAAATGCAGCCAAACAGAAACAGGGCATAAAACTTCCACATTTTTATGTAAAGAAGAAGGCGGCAAGAGTTTTCAGGCAAGTAGGACATCCAACTACCCTGTGTTCTTAAGAAAAGACCAGAAGATTTAAAAACAAAGAAAAAGAGATGGTGACCTCTTATATCAAGGACATCTACATAATCACTGGCTAAGGGATATACTAGAGACTACATTTAGGATATTTTATTTTTCTTTAAAAAAGAAAAACTATCACAGCCAATCTGTATTGTCATGTTCCCCATCACATCTCAATAATATAGATCAACAAGTGAATGTCTTTTAAGTAGATGGCTGAATTTGCAAGACAGTAATTTAATTTGAAGGCTTATTACTGGTGAGAAAAGTTAAATTAACAATCAATTGAAGAAAAAAAAGAATAAAAAAATTTCCAATAATATTTTCCCAAATCTTCTCCTACAATATAAGTTTTCTCTGTTCTTCTGGATACTATTCTTTCCTTCTCTTTAGTGGAACCATCAAATTTCATTTTTAATGAATTAAAAGAGCACTGTGTACATCAAGAAGATCTACAAATATTTTTGGCATGCTCAAAAAAGACTGTGTGTTTTTATAGCATACTCTCCTTAAACAGGACTATTTGTCATTCTTTGAAACACTAAGACATAAAAAAGAAAAGACCCTGGCTCTGTGTGTGGCCATGCTACTTTGCTTAATGCACTAAAATGCAAGGTTTTGTCAGGGAAAAAAGTCAAGAAGTTTCTGCACCATTGATAATCTGACAGTAACTATTTATTGAAGGTAAAATACTTGTTGTCTGCTGTCACTATTTGTTTTAATACATAATCTGGCTAACTAAATGAGCTTAAAGCAATGCAGATAAGCAATGGCATGTACAGGGTCACTTAAATGCCAATTTGACGGTTTCATAAACTTTGGAATTCTTTTCCCATGAGTCTATTCTCAGCTACTTAATTGTGAGTAATATCCATTTACAAACTTTAGGTTGGCCATAAAAAAGGTTGTCTTCCATGTCCAGCACACCTTTCAGTGCCCTAAGAAACAACAAGAGCTAATAATTAAAGCTTCTTTAAACCTCCATAAAGAACTAAATGAAGAAGAATCTAGAAGAAACCAAGCCATAAAAACGTATCGGTGGTACAAGGAGAAAAATCACTTTCAACAAGGTAAATGGTAAAGGCAAACTATAATCTAAATTACATTTATACCCTATGATTGAAAATTAATTCCTGTAGTAAAATTAATTGCCAATTAAAAGAATATTAGGGAAAATGAAATAGGAAACAATATCAGAGAGGAAAAAAGTCACCCAAATGATCAAATTTATTGTCCTATGGTCATTTTGTTAGGTTAGCGTTTATTTTTCCATAATATGATTAGCCAATATAATAAGCAGTTCTACAAATGAGACATTACAATGACCAGAAAATAAAATCCAACATGCTAATATTTCATTTTTCTTTATTCAGTTTTTATTTGAGCTATTATTATATCATCAAAGTAAGATTCAGTTAAAAGTTATTTAAAACGTGGAATAGAACATATATATTCTAACTGCAAATCAGCCACTAATTCTTCAGGCAACTCAGATTAAATATGCAAATTTCTAAAATATCTTTATCTTTTTAAAAAATGTGCATTTTCATTTATAAGTGCTATAAAATAACTTCTCTTCCAATAATAAAATTTATAAATTAAATTAGTCACCTTTTAGTTACTTTTTTATCTCCTAAGAATTTGAAAGACTTCGCCAATCTTCGTTGGTAAAATCCATATTTACTTTTTCTAAATCGCTTCATTTCTTTTCCTTTAATTTGCAAGAATTCTGATGATGAAACCTTTAGAAAATATATAAAGCATTCTGTTAAAGGAAGTTATAGCATGAGAGTTATCTAATGTCACATCTTACGAGCTTCTAATATTTCAATGTATATTTTATTAAGAATATAACTCCTAAAGGTTAATTGATAATTGGGTGCTCTTGAGGTCAATTCCAATTCATTGTGGCCTCACATATGCAGACTAGAATTTCTCCATAAGGTTTTCAAGGCTGTGACCTTTCAGAAGCAGGTCACCAGACTTATCTTCTGGATCACCTATGAATAGATTTATACCATCAGCCTTTCCATTAATAGTCCTTAACTGTTTCAGTCAACCTAGAAACTCTGGCTCATAGAGACCCTATGAACAAAAGATTTGAACCTTGTTCTATCCTGCACCATCCTCACACTTCCTGATACACAGAGAGACTTTTGCAGCAGTCACTGTGTCAACCCATCTGGCTCAGGGTCTTCCTCTCCTTCGCCAACCCTCCACCCTTCCCAGCGTCATGTCCTTCTCCAAGGAACAGCCTCTCCTAGCAACATGCCAAAAGCATGTGAGGCAAAGCCTCATCATGCTTGCCTCCAAAGAGCACTCCTACTGCACTTTTTCCAAGACATTTTCATTTGTTCTCTCGGCAGTTTATGGGATGTTCCGCCGTGCTCTTCTCCAACACCACAGCTCAAAGACATTCCTTTTCCGTCATCCTTACTCACTGTCCGGGTATCAGATGCATAGCAAGTAATGGTAAATACTATGGCCTAAATCCGATGTATCTTAGTCCTCAAACTGACATCATTACTTCTCAATAATTTTGAAAGACCCCTAACTGCAGATTTCCCCTGTGCAAAGTGTCTTCTTATTTTCTGACTGCTGGTACCAAGGGTGTTAATTGTGGATCCAAGCAAAATGAAGCTGTTGACAGTTTCAGGTTCCTCTCCATGCACTATGATGCTGTCTATCGGTCCAGTGTTAAGATTTTTTTTGTTTTCTTGACATTGAGATACAATCCATACTGAAAACTGCATTCGCTGATCTTCAACAAGTGGTTCAAGTCCTCCTCACTTTCAGTAAGAAAGGTTATGTCATCTGCATAACACAAGTTATTGATGGGTCTCCCTCCAATCCTGATGCCACATTCCTCTTCACAGAGTCTAGCTTCTAAGATCATTTGCTCCGCATAGAGACTGAATAAGTATAGAGAAAGAATACAATCCTGATGCACTCCCTTCTAAATTTTAAACCATGTAGTGTGCCCCTGCGTAGAATTTTCACACGAGCACAATTAAGTGCTCTGGGATTCCCATTCTTTTCAATGTCAGCCACAACTTGTTATGATCCACACAATCAAATGCCTTTGCAGAGTCAATACAACACAAAAAGACATTCTTCTGGTATTCTTTACTTTCAGCCCGGATCCATCTGACATCAGGAATGGTATCCCTGGTGCCACAGCCACTTCTAAATCCTGCTTAAAATTCTAGCAGTTCCCAATTTATGTACTGTTCTAGCCATTTTTAAATTATCGTTGTATTTAAAAGTCAGTTGGGTCTTGCCGAGGATGAGTCTTCAGCTTGAAGAAATTGGATGCTGCAGCCATTTATTTACTTGAAAGCTGGATATAAACTGTTTGGTTTTTATTTTGTTTACAATCAAGTATAAGCTGATTGGTTGTTTTTTATTTGTTAACAGTCAGCTGTAGGTTGCAAACCTCTTGTTTAAGCAGTAAGCACCTGGTGGGTAGGTCTTTGTATTTAAAAGTGGGCTGGACTTGTGGGCCACAGGCCCTCTGGCCTGGTGTTAATTGTGTTTGGAGAGAACATTGTTCTGAGAGATACAGCATTTGTCAGTTACTGAGATAACCTGGGGTTACTGTGATACTGAAATCAGTGCCACTGGTGTGTCAAATGCCATACAGATTACCCATTGTGGACAGGTTTTGGTGAAGCTCCTTGATTAAAAAAGACTAGGAAGCAAGATGGACACCTACTTGCTAAATATCAGGCTTTTGAAAAGAGTATGAAAAATGGTAAACTGATAGTTTCCTCTAAATCTCCTCCTAAATTTATACATTTATACCTTTATAATAATAAAAATATTAGCACCATATTTATTTATAATGTCTTTATTATCTTAAATCATTTAAAAGGATATTTAAGATTTTTATGCCTATGAATCTCTTCTTGATTAGTACTTTACTAGAACTTATCCTTAGTCTTTTCAAGTTTGGCATAACTAATGCTTCCAAGCACAAGCTAAAAAGAACTTTCATAAATTATACAAGTATTTTGAATATTTATCATAAATTTATAAAGGAAGGTTTTTTATAAATAAGGTAGAGAGTTTGGACTTAATATAGTAATGAAAGAGCTGTTGTAATGTCTTGAATACAGATGTAACAAAAATCTAGAGCTTTCTATCTAACTACCTAGTTAATATTTTAATTCTCTTCATCAAACAGTCATCTCTTCTGGTTTGAACACTCAACATAGAATTTAGATCTATCCAATGGCAATCTGATAATCCTTTGAAACTTGTTCAGTTATTAAAATTTTTTTGTTTCTTTATTAATGAATCTAAAAACATTGCTCAATTAATCTCAGTTCAGACCTTGGGAACTATACAGGCATGACGTAGTGCTCTTCTCTTTGACAGTGAAATTAAATATTTATAGGGCTGACTTTCCTTGATAAGCGTTTCCCTCACCGACAAGCACCACAGTCCCTTCAACTTTGATTTACATGGCATAGATTTCAAGTACTAAGCTTTGTCCTCTTGAATAGCCTATTTATTTCCACTCTCCAATTTGTTCTACACTAGTCTGAACATAGTATTCGAAGTAAATTATGGTCAGATATTTCTTCCCTATACTTTTTAAAGTTTAATGAATATTTATCATTTAGTGACAGAAATAGGCAACAATAACTTTCTAACAGAGAAAAGGGTCAATACACTATAACATAGCCAGGTAGTGGCACACAGTAAAGCCATTAAAGGCATATTTTGGAGAACATAAAATAAAAACATATAAAAAGAAAGCATCATGACTTAACAAGGATAAGGAATAGTGCAGTTAAGTACGCAGGTGTGCTGCGTTGTTGTTATATGCCACCTATGTACAATATCCCTAAAACTTGCTCTATCCTGTGCCAAACTTATTGTCTCAGACACACCTATCCTCATTACCCCAGTCACTGAATCAGTCCATCTCATTGAGAGTCTTCCTCTCTCGCACTGTCCCTCCATCCTTCCAAGCATGATGCCCCCCTCCAAGGATTGGTCCCTTCTTGAAACATGCCCAAAGTACATCAGACGAAGCCTCAGAATCCTTGCCTCCAAGGAGCAGCCTGATTTCATTCTCTCCAGTATGAAACTGTTATCCTGGAAGTCCATGGTAATACTGTTCTCCAGCACCACAGCTCAAAGTCATCAGTTCTTTCTATCATCTCTAGTAATTGTCCAGCTTTCTGACACATAGTAAATAATTGCAAAGACTATGACCTGGATCGGGCACACCTTAGTCTCCAGACTGACATCATTGCTCTTCAGAGGTCCCTGACAGCAGACTTTCCAAATGCAATTTGTCTTTTGATTTCCTGTAAGCTGGTACCAAGAGTGTTGTTTGTGGAATCAAGCAAACTAACGCTGTTAACAATTTCAATCTCTTCACCATCTATCATAATGCAGACAATCAGTCCAGTCTTTGCTCTCTTGATGTTGAGCTTCAATCCATATTTAAGGCTGCAGTCTTTGACCTTCTTCAACAAGCACTTCAGGTCCTCTTCAGTATCAGCAGGCATGGTTGTGTCACCTGCATAACACAGTTTGTTGATGAGTCTTCTGATGCCACATTCCTCTTCATAGAGCCCAGCCTCCCAGATAATCTATTCTTCATATAGATTGGAAAAGTATGGAGATAAGACAGATCCCTGGTATACATCCTTCCCAATTTCAAACCACTCAGTGGTTCCTTGTCTGTTCTGATGACTGCCTTCTGGTCCAAGTATAGGTTTCACATAAGCATAGTCAAATATTCTGGGGTTCCCATTCTTCTCAGAGTTAGCCACAGCTTGTTTTGATCCACACAGTCAAATTCCTTTGCATAGTCAATGAAACACAGATAGACATTCTTCTGGTGTTCTCTGCTTTCAGCCAAGATCCATCTAACATTAGATAGAATATCTCAGCCTCTTCTAAACCTACCCTGCACATTTGGCAGTTCTCTCTTGATGTGCCAATCCAGTCATTTTTGCATGATTTTCAGCAGAATCTTGCTTGTATGTGATATTAATTATATTGTTCAATAATTTCCTCACTCTATTGGGTCATCTTTCTTTGGAATGGGAACAAATATAGATCTCTTCCAGTCAGTTGGCCAGGTGGTTGTTTCCAGATTTCTTAGCACAACTTAGTGAGTCCATCCAAGGCAACATCTGTTTGTTGAAACATGTCAATTGGTATGCCATCAATACCTGGGGCCTTGTTTTTTGCTAATTCTTTCAGAGCAGTTGAACGCAGGCTATACACATGGATTTCACCTGATGGTATGCATAGGAATCAAATCCATTACATCTGTGCAAAGAATTGCTAGAGAAGCTCAATATCAGCTGTGAAAACTAGGCCAGGTGCTAATTGTGGAACAGACCACCAACTACTCATATGTAAGTTCAAGCTGAAGTTCAAGAAAATTAAATCAAATCCACAAGAACCAAAATTTGACCTTGAGTCTATCCTACTCGAATTTCAGAACCATCTCAGAAACAGGTCTGAGACCTTAAACACCAATGAGCGAAGACTTGATGAGCTGAGGGAGGATATCAAGAATATCATCCATGAAGAATGCAAAAGTTCATTACAAAGACAGAGGTGGAAGAAAAGACCAAGATGGATGTCAGAAGAGATTCTGAATATTGCTGAGAAGTAAAAGCAAAGGGAAGAAATCAATAAATTAAGAGCTGCCAAGATTTCAAATGGCAGCTCAGGAAGACAAAGCAAAGTATTATAATTAAATGTGCAA